GTGGGAACAGAAGGGGCCAGGTGGGGATGGCAGAAGGGCAGGGGACCCAGGTCAGGCCCTGGTGACGCCTTTGACATCTATTCAGAATGACGGGCGCCATTGTGAGGCTGTGGGCAACAGAGAGGGTCGAACTTCCATTTGAAGACCACAGGAGGCCAAGCAGGGACTTGGAAAGGGACATCGGTGGCTTTGGCCAGTGGCTGGGGGGTGTAGGTAGTTATAGGGGTGCAGAGGGGCCTCAAGCAGGGAGTGCGGAATTTGGAAAGACGCCGTGGGTGGCACTGGGCTGCGGTTCTTGGGGGGGGTCAGGAAAAGTCTGGGGTCAAGTTCAAGTTGTTGTTATTATTTTTTTGGTCCCAGGGATGGAACTCGGGGTCCCTCGACCCCTGAGCCCCCTCCCCAGCCCCTTTTTCTATTTTATTGAGAGACAGGGTCTCCCTGAGCTGCTCAGGGCCTCGCGCTAAGTGACTGAGGCTGGCGGCCTCCGACCTGCGATCCTCCTGCCTCAGCCTCCTGTGCTGCTGGGATGACAGGCCCGGCTGCCCTCGGCCCTCTGTGGGCACTGTCTCAGTCTGCACCACATCTGAGGAGGACGTGGGCTCCTCCTGGCCTTTCCCCCCGGGGCCAAGCTGGAGGTGGCACAGTGACAGGCCGCCCAGTCGGGGCTGTGATGGAAACTCCCRGCCTCCCTGCCCAGAACAGAGGCCCAACCCAGTCCTCCCCGAGCCACAGCAGGGTGTGACCCGCCGGCCCCCACGGCCTCTGGCCAGGACTCTCCACGCCCGGGGACAGGAGCTCACTGCCAGCCCCAGAGTGGACCCAGGACCCCGTCACCCCAGAGTCTGTGTTGTGGACAGTCCCCTGCAGGCCGAGGTCCTTCTCAGGRACATCATCGCACAGGGATTCTCCTCAAGAGACACCAAAGTGACCAGGATCAGGGACAGTGGCAGCTGCCGGCTCGGGGAGCCAGGTCCTCCAGATCCCCTGGCCCTGGCTCCAGGACACCCCCCCCCCCCGTGTCCCTCCCTCCCAGTCCCCTCCCGCCCCTCCCCCCTGCAGATTTGATAACACCCAGGAGTCTCGGTCCCCTCCCGAGGACAAAGGAGGCGATTGTCCCCTTGGACGCCTTTTGACTTGCTCTCACCGAGGTGTAACTGAGCCCCACTCTCCCTGGGCCTCACCCTGTCCCCTCCCTCCCCGTCCCCGTCCCCGGTTTCAAAGGAGCCCCTGGCCGCGGGGGCCAGAAGCCACCCTGGGAATGGCCCCCCGGGGGACGTCACGTGGCTGGCACTGAGACCCCTGGGCTGGCCCGAGGCCCCGCTGGAYGGTGCGATCCCGGTTCCAGCCTCGGAACAGAGCGCCGACTGTATACCCACGAGCGCCCCCGCGCCACAGCCGTGCCCTGCCTCTCCCTGCCACYGAGGGCCACACGTCACGGGGGACCAAGGACCCGGACTTGCAGTCCAACCCATTCCCACGGACGTCAGCTGGAACAGCCACTTGGACTGTGGTCACCGCCCCGGATCCCAGGGTAGCACCTGTCTGCTGTGCAGCCCCAGGCAACTTGCTTGACCTCTCTGTGCTTCCATCGTCCCATCTGCAGGACGGAGAGGGACAGAGACGGCTCCTCACAGGGGTCCTCGGGGCTCTTGGGGCTCAGATGAGCCCCCTGCCACAAGTGCTGTCCTTCGAGTGACGGGCATCCTCGCGGCCACTAACCAGGCCACTTTGCGGTGTGAGTTCTGTCCCCCTGTCCCCCGTCCGTAGGGACTAGGGGACAGGGACAGCTTCCTCACCTTGCTGTCCCCCAGGCTGGGCTGTCCACCGCCCCCCCACCCCGCCCCAGGCTGTGTCCTGTGTCCATGCCAGATTGGGGATGCCGGGGTCTCAGTGGCCCACAGCACGGGGGACGCCGGGACCCACAGATGTCTCCCTTCTCCTCGGGAAGCGCTGGCCTCCCTTTATCTTGTCCCCTCCCTTCCTGGGCACTGACCACGGCTATCACCTGTGGCATCAATGACGGGGACCCCATGGGCCTCGCCCTGGCTGCGTGACTGGAGATGACCAGAAAACCTCCGGCCTCAGGACCATCCTCCGTCCCGGGCCTCCCCGCCCCTGATCTCCGTGGTGGCTTCTGCCCCGGGGACCTGTCCTGGCTCTTGGTCCCCCGCCGGCCCACAGGAGAGCTCCTAGTGCCACCTCAGCCCTTCGGGCACACCAGCACGTCCCAGGAGCAGGAGGGAGGCTGAGCCGGGGCGGTCCCGGGTGCGAATCCTGCCTCTCCGCGCTCTCTCTCTCTCTCTCTCTCTGAGCCTGGCCCAGTCTCCCGTGCGTGTGCGAGGACTCAGGAGTCCCCAGGGGGGGAAGCGCCTTTAGCTGCACAACCAAGTGGCAGCTCTTGGAATGTTCCAGAAACGGGTGTCCTCATGGGGCAGCAGAGGCTGGGCGGGGAGGCTGGAGTTAGCCCCCCCCCCCAATAGGCCAGACCTGAGACTGACACCTGCTGAAGCCCCTTCAAGATGAGTCACAGGAATAGTGGGAGCTGGGACAGGGGGTCCGTGTTACCTGGGGACAGTGTCGGAGCTGGTGACGCGAAGGTTTGAGGGGGAAAAGCGCCTCCCGGGGCCAGACGCGGCATGTGCCAAGGTCCTGAGGTAGAAATAGCCTGACTCACCCCAGCAGGGAGCAGGGAGGGCAACTGGGCAGGACCTTGGGGTCTGGTGGTCCTCCCCAGCCTCCTGTCACCCTTGACGGCCTTCCTGAGGACACAGGAAGGAACCTTTATGGAGGGGGCGGGAATCTAAGGTCCCCGAGGCAGGAGATCTGCCCACTTCTGTGCCCCGGGTGCAGGTGGCCCGGGGAGGTGGGGCTCGGCCGCTCAGGCCCTTGACGTGCCCTGAGTCACCCTCTGGTCCCTCTTAGCTGACCACTCTTTCTGGTCAAATATGCAAGTGGCCCTCAGGGCGCAGCGAGGAGCATAGCTGAGCCGGCCTTATCTGGGCCCCRCCCCAGGGGACAGGGGCCGGGTCCCTGCTGTCCCCGCTGGCTCACGGGGCTGCCCGCAGCCGGGGTGCACTGGGACTCCAGGGCCCGGGAGCACCCAGACCAGACCGGGAGGACAGGAAGGGACAAGACAGACCGCAGCAGCCCTCCATGCGCAAGAGCCTGGGCAGGGCCGGGAGGGGACTCCGCAGCCCGGTGGTGGCATTCCAACCCCCTGAGCTCACCTGCCCCGGGGAATGGCGCATTCCAGCAGGACCAGCCCCGTCCAGCCCCGCCGTCCCCGGCTGCTCTGCCGTCCCGGGCCCCCAGAGCCGGCCTGGCATCTTGGGGACTTGGCCACCCCTGTCCCCGGGGCACAAGTTGCAGAAATAGCAGAGGCCAGCTCAGGGCCACCCCGGGGGACGTTTCCTAGACTCTCAAGCGCATCCCAATCCCATCTCCCAGGCCACGGGGGGACTGGACCTGGCTGCAGTCCACGCGTCAYGGCCACCTCCCCTGGGGGCCGCCAGCCAGGAGCCTCCAAGGCTCCGAGTGCCTCCAGCCTCCTGGGCCTCACCACCCCTCCCCCCTGCTGCTTGTCCCCTGGCGCGCAGCCCCGAGTCACCATCTGGTCCCTGGTAGCTGACGGGACTAGACTGAGCCCAGGCCATGGGCAGTTCCCTTCCCTGCTGCCCAAAGTGCGGTGGCCCTCGCCTGTCCTCCCAGCGGCTCGGGAGGCTGAGGCAGGAGGATAGAGAGTGGGAGGCCGGCCTCAGCAGCTGAGTGACCTGTGTCCACACAGAAGGTGAAACRTGCTGCAGGGACGTGGTCGGGCCCGGGGACCCGCCCTGAGGGTCCCGCACCAGCCTCTGGCCACCCTGYGGGCCATGGGGGATGTCATGGGGCAGCCACTGCGGCTGGCCTCGTCCCTCCAGCTCGGTGGTGGGGGCTGGGCTGTGGGCCAAAGTGCACAAACCCGGCTCCCCCACAGCCCTGGGGACAGCTGGGACAGGCCTCAGGAGGCCAAGGGTCTGGTGGACTTCCTGCCCCACCCCTCCTCTCTGGTCCACTCCTGCTCCAGAACCATCTGTGRCTCCCCAGCACCCACCGGTGCCCAGCCCCTTGCACCGGGGTCTGGAATATGGCTTTGTCATAGTCCCGGGGAGGCTGGGTCCCCAGACAGCTTACAGACTGAGGAGGAGGGGACGCCGCCGGACAGGGGACGTCCTCCTCCTCCCGTCCCTCCTCCTGTCCCCCCGCTGTATCTACTGCTTTAATTCTCAGCTCGGCCCTAACAGGTGGACAGATAAGGTCAGTGCCGCGGGGCATGGAGGTCACTGCTTTCCTTCTGTCCCCTCCAGGGACCGAGCCCTGCTGCTGTGACCTGTGACCCATGACCTGAGGGGACCTGGCCCCAGAGAGAAGGAGGAAGAAATAGCCAAGGACCCGCGGGGGGCGGGGGGCAGGTCCCACCCTGGACAGGGGCCCCGAGCCATGGGGACTCTGAGGACACTCAGCCATCACAACGTCCGGGTCCAGCCAGGCTCGATGGYCCACGCCTGCCAGCCCAGCAGCTTGGGAGGCTGAGGCAGGAGGATCACAAGTTGGAGGCCAGCCTCCCAAGCCACCAGGATTAGAGGTGTGGTCACCGTGCCCTGCTGATGGTGGCCTTACGTGACCTTTGACAGCCATGGTCTGTCCCCAGCCCCACAGGCGCCGAGCCCTCCCTCCCTGGCTCACAGASCCTCTCTAGAGCTCAGAATCATCACCAGGGGAAAATCACCTTCTCTGTTTTGCGCTGCAGACCTTGGTTAAGATGACCGAGGACAGGTTGGCTGCTCTGGCAGGTGACCCCGTGGAYCCTCCCTTCCAGTTCTGCGCAGCGAGAGCCCACCCGCACCCCTCCATGGGGCCTAGTGACCCCAGAGCGGCCCTCACGGACCCCGAGCGAGACCCYTCCGGTGCCCAGGCGGTGCCTCGGGGCGCCCCGAGGCTGCCAGACACCGCGCGTGGCCCACCTTCCTGCCGGCCTCGTTGTTGTGCAGGTTCATGAGCGTGCGGGCGTTCTGCTTGATCTCCCGGGCGTCCACGAAGACCTTGGCGAAGCCGATGCCGTAGCGGATGTCGGCCGAACAGCCTCCCCACTTCCAGCCCTCCTCGCGGTGGTACTGGCCTTGCTTCTCCTTGTCACAGCCGCAGTCGCTCAGGTTGCCCTGGGTGCAGGCCGCGGTGATGGCATGGGCCACACCCGCCGCGATGATGGCGTAGGTGAAGGCCGCCTCCCGGCTCCCTGGGGGGGACAGAGGGACGGGCTGTGGAGGTCCTGGGGAGGAGGCCCGGYGGCGAGGCCACAGCCTCCCTCAAAGACCTGTCCTCCATTCCTGGCCTCCTGGATGAGGCCAGGGACCACCTGATCCGTGTCCCCAAGGAGGCTCAAGACAGGGCTCAGCCTGGTGCCTGGCTCAGCAAATGTCCCCAAAGTAGGCACTCTGGGCCTCGTCCACCCCCTCCACTGCCCCTCCACCTCTGAGACTTGCAACGGGCATGATCTGAGCACCGACTGAGTGCACGCACACAGGAAACCCTGGGGGACGTCAAGGTCAAGGTCAAGGTCAGACCCTCAGAAGGCCCAGGGAGAGGGGTAGGGCTCTTCCTGGACTTTCCTGCTGTGTGACCTTGGRTGAGTCACCTAACCTCTCTGTGCCCATCGGCTCCACTATAAAACGGGGTGATAACAGGACCCGGGTTATCAGGGTGGTCGCGGAGAGTAGGGAAAAAAAGCCACTGAGGTCACAGCACGGGGCAGAAGGAAGTGACCTCGACCTGGGCTATCGAACAGCGGCCCACCCGGCCCGCAGACACCCCGACCAGACCACGGACTGTCCCCGATAACTCGAGGGGCAGCAGCTGCGGGGAGACTGTGTCTCTGTCACCAGACCCAGAGCGCAGTGTGGCAGCGGGGGAGGGGCAGGGGCCTGGCCTGTCCCCTGGCGAGTCCCCAGAGCAGTGGACAGCACTGCAGGTCATGAGGAAATGGCCGGGGCTGCGGCTTCTGTCCTCCCAGCTGGCCCATGCTGTCCCCGGAGGTGGCCAAGGGCACCCTGGGCATCCGCTTTCTCCACCAGCGTTAGCCCGGGGAACCCAGTGGCTCGGGAGGCTGAGGCAGGAGGATCGCAAGGTGGAGGCCAGCCTCGGCCACTCAGCCGGGCCCTGAGCCGCTCAGCGGAGGCCTGGAGGGTCGTGGGGAGTCGGGGTGGGGGTGGAGGGGAGGTCCCAGGTGTTGGGCATCCATTAGGCACCAGATGCATGCGCAGCTCTTTGCGGGGTTCTGTGACAGTCCCCGAGGCAGGTTCCGCTCTTTGGGACCCTACAGTCACAGGCTCCGAGGAGAAAACCCATGTGCTGTGCTGTGGTCCCCTGTCTAGAAGGTGGAGGGGACTGGGGTCCAGGCCCCAAGTCAGGCAGTGTCCCCCTCAGGCCCCGCCCTCCTGGCCCCCAAGGCCCACGTCCTGGGAGGTCCCTTGCAGAAGTCAGGTCGCTGGGAGGTGATCTCCCTGGGGGTCACCTGCTGTCCCCACCCACTCCCGGGGGCTCCGGGGACCTGACGGTATTGCACGGCTCTTGGTGCCACCTGGGTCATTTCCTGAGTGTCCTGCTTCATCGCTGACAGGCCTGGTGACGGGGAGATGGCATGAAGCAGGGCCACCTCTTGTTGAACTATTGACTTTGGTGCCAGGGCTGGAACCCCAGGGGTGCTTCACCCCCTGAGCCCCGTCCCCAGCCCTTTTTCTATTTTACTTAGAGACAGGGCCTTGCTGAGTGGCTGAGGCTGGCCTCCCACTTGCGATCCTCCGGCCTCAGCCTCCCAAGCTGCTGGGATGACAGGCAGGTGCCACCGAGCCCAGCCCCGTCCCTCATTCTCCACCCAGGTACATCTCCTGGGAAAGGCCAGCCCAGGGGACAGGGGGACGTCGGCTCAGGCCTGGGATGAGAAGGAGCTCGCTGTCTATTCTCTTGTCCCCGGTGGGTGACCCCGAGCAAGGCCACAGCCTCCCYGAGTCTCAGCTGCCCACCTGTCACCTCGGAGTCCCCAGCAGGACACGGCCAGCCGGCTTGTGGGGACAGTCTGGGCGTGTCCACGGGGTCTGGCTGGGAACCCCGGACACCCCCCCCCAGGTCCTTCTCTTGGTCTCTCTGCTGTTCCCAGCCGCGGGTCAGGGTGGGAGTCCTCTGGGTCACAGCGGCTGGCCTCCGTGACAGTCCGGAAAACAGATGGAAAAATGTCCTTCTTTCCAGCCCCGTGCCCTGGCCACTCACCGCCCCTCTGGGCCAGCAGCCACGTGGGGCTGTTCCTGTGCAGGGCGACCAGGGAGTCCCCGGCCGGAAAATGAGGGGGTGTCTGGGCTGCGGCGGGGGAGGGGCGTGGGCAGGTCCCCACCCTGTCCCCGCCCACCTCTGTCCCCGGTCTCCCGGGTGGCCCGGCCGGGGCACACAGGGGCCTGTCCACCCATGGGCAGCGCCCGCCCCAGCCTGCCCTTCCCTTCCCCATGGGCTGGGTGCACCTGGGAATGTCCTTCCTGTCCCTCCACCTGGGGAGGGTCAGGGAGCCCCAGATGGCCACACGCAGGCCCTGGAGAAGGGTAACTGGGGTTCACATCTGCCCCCCCCAGCACAGCTGGACCCTGGCTACGTGAACTCCTTCCCAGCCTCGGTGGACCTGTCTGAGCCATGGGACTCACAGGGCACCCAATGGCCTTCCACGGTGGGGAGGACCCGTCCACAGGGTACAGTTACGGACCAGGGATCCCGGAGGCGGAGGAGGCTGAGGCAGGAGGATCGCGAGTGCAAAGCCAGCCTCAGCAACGGCGAGGTGCTRAGATAACGAGACCAGGTTCCACCCATCAGGTCTCAGAGCACCGGGGACACAGTGGGGACAGGAACTGGCCTGCCTGGCCAAGCACTCTCAGTGTTCTGTAAGCACCTACTGTGTGCTGGGAAGAGACCAGGAGCACTCACTGTGTGCCAGGAAGAGACCAGGAGCACCTACTGCGTGCCAGGAAGAGATCAGGAGCACCTACTCTGTGCCAGGAAGAGACCAGGAGCACCTACTGTGTGCGAAAGAGACCAGGAGCACCTACTCTGTGCCAGGAAGAGACCAGGAGCACCTACTCTGTGCCAGAAAGAGACCAGGAGCACCTACTGTGTGCCAAGGAGAGGCCAGGAGCACCTACTATGTGCCAGGAAGAGACCAGGAGCACCTACTGTGTGCCAAGGAGAGGCCAGGARCACCTACTGTGTGCCAGGAAGAGGCCAGGAACACCTACTATGTGCCAGGAAGAGACCAGGAGCACCTACTGTGTGCCAAGGAGAGACCAGGAGCACTCACTGTGTGCCAGGAAGAGACCAGGAGCACCTACCGTGTGCCAGGAAGAGACCAGGAGCACCTACTGTGTGCCAAGGAGAGGCCAGGAGCACCTACTGTGTGCCAGGAAGCGATCAGGAGCCTCGGGGTGGGCAGAAGCCTCCGTTGGACACGTTGTGACAAAGGTAAGTCAGGTCCCCAGTGTAAGTGGTGAGGACTGAGGAGAGGGCAGCAGGGGTGCCCTGTGGGGCTCGTGGGGGACTGTCTCGGGAAGGATGGTCCAGGATGCCTTCCTGGAGGAGGAGGCCCCCGAGTAGAGATCTGCMTGATGTGGGCGGGGACAGGGACCCAGCACCACCGGGTGCCTCTCCCAGGTGCCCCTTGTCCCCACCCTGCTCCAGAGAGSAGCTGGAGGAGGGGCCGGCTTCAGCACCACGGGGGGTGGGGGGCAATGTCCATGAAGCCCACTGTCCTCACTGACGCCTCCACCTCCCAGGCACTGTGTCAGAGGCCTCTGCTCCCTGGGGACCTTCCTTCTGGCCAGAGAGTTGGACAATATTCCCAGGGGCACAACCAAGACAGCACAGAGCCTGGCACAAGGGCCCACGCCTGTCATCCCAGCGGCTCCGGAGGCCGAGGCAGGAGGATCACCAATTGGAGGCCAGCCTCAGGCACTTAGCAAGGCCCTAAGCAGCCCAGCAAAACCCTGTCTCTAAGKAAAATACAAAATAGGGCTGGGGACGGGGCTCAGTGGCCGAGTGCCCCTAGGTTAAGTCCCCAGTATCCAAGACCCTGGTAGCTTGCCTACCAGGTCAGCAGAGCCCCGCCTCCTGCATGGCCCCGCCCCCTGTCATGGCCCCTCCTCCTGCAGAGCCCCGCCTCCTGCCATAGCCACGCCTTCTGCCATAGCCCCGCCTCCTGCAGAGCCCCCCCCCCCACCTCTCTGTTCTCTCTGCCTGGGGTCCCACGGACTGGTCACCAAGAAAGAATTCCACCTTTCAAGACCCACTGGCCAGACCACGGTCCATCTTGGCTGTGTCACCTCTGAGAACACCCCCCCCCACAGTGCTGGACCCTGCCACCGTCTGGTCACTTGTGGCCATGGACTGAGTTACACGCACCCCCCCTAATTCACATGTTGAAGTCTGGGCACCCCCCACTCCCGCTCCGGGATCCCCAAATGCGACTGCAATTGGAGAGAAGGTCTTTGAAGTCTCGGTTAAGTTAAAATGGGGCCATTAGGGTGGCACCTGAGGCCATCGATTGTTCTTAAGACAAAGGGGATGAGGACACGAGAGATCCAGGGCACTCTGGGAGGACACCGAGGACATGGCAGCCTTATCCCAGCAGCAGGAAACCAGCCCTGCCGCACCGTGACCTTGAATTTGCAGCCCCAGGCTGAGGGGCTTGGGCACAGCCAGCCAGTCTGTCCCCAAGAGACCATCAGGATGCCGCCAACAGGCGTGGCCAACACCAGCACGCGGCCTGTGGYCTCGGTGGCTGACTTGGGATGGACGCACGGGCCCTGCTGGCCACTGGAGCAAGTCTCCGGACCTCTGCAGCTGCTGCTGGCGTTGTGGCCCTGGGCTGGTGAAGGTCACCCTGCTGTCCCAAGACGTGGCTCTGGGGGGCTGAAGGCCATACTCCCTCTGGCCCAGGCCATCCTGAAGACCAGCCCCACCCCCTGGTTTTCCAGTTCTTGGGCATTCATAAAGTCCCCCTTTTGGCGGAGGTGGCCTGAGTGGGGCTTGGGGACCAGCATCCAAGGGGTCCGGACCTGCTGTTGCTGGGGACCTTGATCTAGGCAGGAGACCCCAGAAGGAAGATGAACCAAGGAGCCGGCCCAAACTGAGGGCCAGGGTGGAGGGTCGGGTGGGGAGGAGGGCAGGGCGAAGAACCTGAGGGCCAGCTGCCCACCCCACGTCCCTCTCCCCTTCCCCCTCGCTCTGAGAGCCCAAGCCCTTCTCCAGGTGGCTCTACAAAGAAAACTACATTTCCCAGCAGCCCTTGTAGCTAGGCATGGCCATATGACTGGTTCTGGCCAATGAGATGTAGGCAGAGGGTATGGGGGTGGAGCTTCTGGGAAGGCTTTTCAAAGACAAGCCAATGCCCTGTGGTTCAGAGAGTGCTCAGGCTCCAGAAGTCCAACGGCACCACCCTTGGTCCCCCGCCGTCAGAGAGCGGCCCTGGGTGGCTGTGTATCTCCAAGAGGCCACCCCGGTGAGGACAAGAGTCCCCATGTAGCAAGCCCCCATCCCCTCCTGCCTGGGAGGACTCACCAGGGGCCTTCCCTGCCCAGCCCAGCCCAGCCCAGCTGGCCTCATTCTTTTCCTCGGCACACCCTTGCTGAGATCTTGTGGCCTCCAGTCACGGTGGCCGCTCCGACGACATTTGGTAAATGCGTGACCCAATGAATGGATTCTGTACCAATGCACCTTCCAGAATTAGACTGGATCCTATGAAGCTGCCGATTGGGTAAGTCAGTAATCATGGCAGAGCGGCAATTTCCTATGGTTCAGGCCAAACTTTGGCATCCGAACCCACAGGCAAAATCCTCCAACCCTTCCYGCCAAACAGGGTCTCACTGAGTTGCTGAGCGCCTCGCTTTTGCTGAGGCTGGCCTCCCAACTTGCCATCCTCCTGCCTCAGCCTCCCGAGCCACAGGGATGACAGGCGTGTGACTTTGCCTCTCCCTGGGGTCTAGTTTTCCACTTGCAAAGGTGAGCCCTCAGGTCAGGAAGAGGGAGAGGAAGGGCAGGGGATCCAGGGCTCAAATTTCTGGACCAGCAAGATCTCAGAAAGGTGGGTGGATGGGCTCAAGGCTGGACCCCAAACCCCCAAATCTGACCTGCCCTGACTCTCAGCCAGAGTCCCCAGGGCAGAGAAGGGKTTACTGCACTCTTGGTGCCCCAAGTGCCCACGGGGTGGAAAGATACTCTGCATGGCCAGGGCCTCCTGGAGACCAGTATTGTTCTCCACCRCCTTCCTTCTAGAATCTTCTCACGATTGCCTCAGATGTCACACGTGTGGCTCAACCAACACTCTGAGCCTGCGTCTGCCGGCACGCCTGTGTGTAGCTGGGTGCACGTCACGGCACACACCCGGTCCCCAGAACACAGGGCTTGCAAAGTCTGGATCGTAAGGCACCAGGTGGAGTGGCGGGGATTGCAGCAACAAAGGGGCTGCCTGGGTCCATCTGCTGCAAGCTGCAGTCTCAGCTCCATCACAACCCGCTGGGACCATGGRCCAATTATTCAGAGAAGCAGGAAATCCCTATTTTGAGGTGCAATCGCTCATTTCCAATGTTGGGGCCTCCAGTTTCCAAGAACACCAACACTTTTTTTTTTTTTTTAACTAACCCCCGGACATTTGCACCGACCGATTGGGTGGTTTGCAATTGAACCCTGACACCCGGGTTCAAGTGATGTCCCCTCTATTGAGGGGCATTGTTGCATGGCATTCTTGAAGTCTCCCAAGAGCATGCCTGTGTCCCTCAGAGCCCGTAAGACCCCCACCTGGGGTGCTGGGGTGAGCACCTACCCACTTTGAGCTCTTTCCCAAAGACGGTGCGCTCCCCCAGGGCTGAGCAGTTCCAGCGGCCATTGCGGAACTGAAACTGACACTCGTCTAGGCCCATTTGGGAGCCTTCTCCGATGACGATGATGGCGTCGGGCCGGCTCTGGCAGATCGCCCGCTGTCTGGGGGCCAGGCCTGGGATCTTGTTACAGATGATGCTGGCGCCCAGAGCGACCACGGAGGAGAAGCCACTGGAGAGGGGACACAGAGAGACAGAGGTTGAGACCCACGGGAGCTAGCAGGTGCTGCAGGTGGCTGGAAGGACCCCGGGGGGAACCCGTGACTCAGGCCTGTCATCCCAGTGGCTCAGGAGGCTGAGGCAGGAGGATCGCAGCCTCAGCAATTTAGGGAGGCCCTAAGCACCTCTGTGAGACCCTGTTTCTAAATAAAACACAAAATAGGGCTGAGGATGTGGCTCGGTGGTCTAGTGCCCTTGAGTTCAATCAGAGGCACCACACACAGGGCCCCTGACCTGCTTAGGTTTGCCATCTGGGCTTCTTTGGCTCTCTGACTGTGTGACCCTGAGCTAGTWACCCACCCTCTCTGTACTTCAGTTTTTCCATGGCTAAATTAAGGGTGTTGGCAACTAGTCCTAATCTGATAGGGTTGCTGTCACCATCAAATGTGCTAAAACAGAAAGGGCTTAGGAGGTGCGGAGGGAGAGGTGGGGGCTGGTGCCATAATCACTAAATGTGGCCTCTGTTTATTATTTGGGGACCTGATCGCTGTTCCAAGAGGCTGGCGCAGCTGGGATCTCCTGAATGAGGCCCATCAATGAATCCCACCCATGCGCCAGTCTCCTCCCCGGGAACAGGGTTGAAACCTCCTTTCACGGGGGCACTGGGCCATATCTCGGGGGCTGTTGTCACTTTGACCCTTGGGGTCCCTTTTACAGATGGAAAAAGGAGACCCAGGGCGCATCAGAGCCCGGCCCAAAGCCACCCGGCCCCTCCCACCTCGTAACCTGGGCCTCTCCCGCGCTGCAGAGGCCAGCCTCGGGGCGGAAGGCCGGCGGCGCCCTGCCTGGCTCGCTCCCCAGGTCCCTCCGGGGGGGGGGGACGGCTGGGTCCCCGCAGGGGCGATGGGCCACAGGCGCCAGGGACGGGGTGTGGGGGGGTGTCCGCCGGGCGGGGCTGCCGGGAGAGGTTATTTTCTGCTATTTTCCCTTTCTGTGTCCCCTCCCGGGTGTCTCCGCCCCGATTCTAATTAAAAAAGGAGATAATGTCGCACGCGGGCGGCCAGGGGGGCCCATCAGCCCGGCTTGGCTTCCCGGATGCTGGAGGAGCGCTGCGGGGCTGCGGGTCGCCCAGCCAAGATGCAGATGGGAGCCGGGAAAGCCACCCAGACGCGGGCCAATCAATAGCACTTAGAGCTCAGCGCGCGCGCTCGGCCCCCGCGGTCGCCTCTCCGCCCGCGGTCGGGGCCGGTGGCCGCCGGGTCCACTCTGCGCGGCGCACCTGCTGGCCGCCGCGGCTGTCCGCTGGCCAAACCCCCCCTCCCACTCCAGGGACGCGGGGGATGGGGAGGTGGCTGCACCCGGGGGTGGCAGTGTCAAAAACACAAAGGACCTGCCACACACACACACACACACACACACACACACCCCTCGCCAAGGCCCCATCGCTGCCCTCCTCCCCCCTAAAAAAAGAGGCGGATGGGAGTTCACAGCCAGGGGACCAAGGGGCAGGTGGCCGAAATCGGCCTGGTGGCCCTTCAGCGCCCGCCCTGAGGGCCATCGCCACCCACCCCCCTTGGGGCCTCGCGTGCATTATCTCCCAAGTACAAAGGGCCCTGCAAATGCAGCCCGAGGAGCGACCCCCGGCCGCCTCCTGCGCTTCCAGACCGAGGGACGCGCGCACCCCACTTCGCAGACAATTTTGGGGTGCAGCCCGAGGGCGGCAGAGGCGCGCAGTCCGGGGGGGGCGGGGTGTCCCGCCTCTCTTTGGGGCTGTCCCTGCGACTGCTCTCTCCCCTCTCTCCTACCTTTGTGTGTGTGTGTGTGTGTGTGTGTCGGGGGGCGGAGGCGCTGTCCCCAGACTTGGGGAGAACTCTGGGCACCTGAGGGTCCCTAGGCATTGGGTGGTGCCAGGGCTCTGAGCGTCTGTCGGTTGATGTTTTGGCCAGCGAAGATCCCTATCTCCCTCCGGGTACCTGTCCCCTGTTGGCAGGGACCGGCCCCTCTGCCACTTGGGGACTGCCCTGTTTCTGGGAGCAGAGGTGCCCGCGCCTCCTTTGCGGAGTTGGGGCTCCCGCGCCACCGGAGCGGCTGCGATCTCGGTTCAGCGTTCCTGCAGGACCTGCTGTCCCCATGGCCTGGAGGGTCCCAGCCSGCGCTCTCTGTGTCTGGGGGGCTTCCAGATGGGCTCGGGATGCCCAGTCCCCTGGCCCGCGCKTGTGGAGCGAGGTGCGCCCCCCGCGGGGGGCGTCCGCCTGCGGGGAGCCTTTGTGCGCTCCCGGGCTCCGGACCCCCAGCGCCCACCCSGCTCCCTCGGGGGGACCCAGGAAGTTGGTGTCCTTGGCCTCGCCAACTTTGCCGGGACGCGCGCGCGGAGGGGACGCGAGGGCCCTTACCCGATCCGGAGGTAGACCATGCCCAGGCTGAGAAAGAGGTGGCCCAGGCAGCGCCGCGCTTTCCGGTTCATAGTCCCCGCTGGTGGCCGGGGCCGCGGGCCGGGCAGTGCAGATCCCCGCGGGCCGGCCCCGGCGGGGCAATCAGCATAGCCCGCCCGCCCGGGAGGCGCGGGCCGAGGCGTCCCCGGGGCCGTCGGTCTGGGCTCCCGTCCGCGCGCTCGGGGCCGAGAGTCGCCGGGAGCGCGGGAGCCGCGCGGCGCAGGAGGGAGGAGGAGCGAGCGCCGCGCGGGGCTGCGCCGGGCTGCGCGCGAGCGAGCGGTGCAAGTGCAGCCCGCGCGGGGGGTGCGGGGGGGGGACGCTGCTGTCGCCCGCCCGGTCCCTCCCTCCTCCCCCCTCCGTCCCTCCCGGCCCCTCCCCTGCCCGCCTCCCCGGAGCGCCCGCCTCGCGTCTGAGCGCCCGAGGGACAGCGCCCCCTGCCCCAAGCGCGCTCCTTCTCGGCTCTGGGCACGGGTGGGCAGCTGCGGGACCCCAATCGCCCCCCACCTGTCGCCCGATCGCAGGWGTCGTCGGGTGGAGGGGACCAGGACTCAGCCGGTGGGGAACTCTGGAGCCTCGTCCRGCTGCCCCGTCGCCTGGGAGCTGGAGGTGTGTCGGGGCGCACCTCGGTTCCCCCGGCCCAGGAGGGAGGGGCCCGACTTCGGGGTGACCAACGGGACCTAGTCCCACCTCCCTTCTGCTACCCCGAGAGGGGCGGCAGGTGGGAGCCTGGGTGGGACAGTCCCCCTCCCTTGGGGTCCCGCTACCGGAATGGGGTGGCCGCGCACCCAATCCAGTCGTGGGGCGCGGGAGCTGCCTGAGGGCTGGGGCGCCCCTTGGTGGCTCAGCGCGCTCTCGCGGCGACACCTGGCGGGTGCGGCGGGCGGTGCATCCCGGACTTGTTCAAGGGGACAGGACTGGAGAGGTACTGACCCCTGCCTTGGATATGCACCCGATCAGGGGAGCTGCGGGTATTGGACCGAATTTCAGCCTAAGGAACCCAAGACCCAAGGAGGCGAAGGTGTTTCCCCAAAGTCACCAGCCAGGGTGGGGCAGAGCCGGTTTGCAAGGAAGGTGTCCCCCACCCCGTGGCATGACCTCCCTACATGGTTGTCACCACTGTCTGCATGAACCTCTCTCCCTCTCTGACACTGCATGTCCCTTCTCCCCTGGAAGCCACCACATCCTTCCACCACATGGTTTCCTGCACAGCGTGGGCATCGCAGATCCAAGGAACAGAAAAGGCAGGTGTCCCTAGGGGTCAGAGGGCCAGGGAGCAAGGCCACTCTTGCAGAGGGCTGGGCCTCAAGTGAGGATAACAGGACTAGTGGTCGGGAAAGAGAGCTCTGGGCACCACAGRGTTATTTCAGATCCTAAGAGAATGGCATTGGACCAGAGCCGTGAAGGACACCGGATCTGGGGCTTGGCATTCCAGGAAGGGGACCGCCTAGTGTCAAAGCTCCGAGGTGGGCGTGAGCCCAGGAGGGGATGCTGGGGCCATGCTGGACAGAAAGAAGTCCGGGGGGGTGAGAGGAGCCATGCAGAGCCCAGAACTGTGCGCAGGTTGCGAGCGCAGGAGTTCAGTGGGAACACGCTGAGGATGAAGGAGGGGTGAGTCACTGGGTTGGTGGGTCCAAGTCTCCCTTTGCTGCTCTAAAAGAGACTCCACCAGGGGGTGGGGAGAGCCAGGCAGGCCACAGAGACCCCACTGTGGGTCCAGGCACCAAGCACCGTGGTCCACACCTGTCATCCTAGAGGCTCCGGAGGCTGAGGCAGGAGGATTGCAAGGTGGAGGCCAGCCTCAGCCACTTAGCCAGGCCGTAAGCAACTTGGTGAGACCCTGTCTCTAAATAAAATAGAAAAAGGGCTGGGGACGGGGCTCAGTGGTCCAGTGGCCCTGAGTTCAGTCCTGGTACGAGAGAGAGAGAGAGAGAGAGAGAGAGAGAGAGAGAGAGAGAGAGAGTTAGTTTACGTAAAAGAAAGACACACTGCTGGTGTGGTGGGCTGGGACATTTCTGCTGCAGCTCAGAGCCACTATGGAAGGTGGCTGGAGGTTGCCTGGTGAGGGAGCCAGGGATATGCAGGGCCACTCCAGTCTGGGGTCTCCATTGATTGTGTCATTGTAGTTACCCACCCCAGTTGCCCAGGTGTGTGAAGGTCTCCAGAGGGTCCCAGCCAAACTCCTGCACTCCCGAGTGCCCCCCCCCGCCCATCATCTGCAGATACTGTCCACCCTGCACAGTCTGCTTCCAAAACACCTGTCAGATGCATCATTATGACCTCAGGGCAAAGCCTCATCCATGTCACATGTTGAGGGACCCTTGTGACCTGGACATTGGGACGGATATTACAGAGAGACCAGTGGATCAGGGCAGACGGGCAAGGTGGCTGCAGGTGAGAGAGGTGGAGGAGGAAATTAGGATTGAAGAGCAAGCGATCCATAAGTCCAGATTCTGCCCTCCTGGGGCCAGAGCCTGAGGACTGATTTAATACCACACAGAGGTGGCACCTGTATGTGCCAGGTGGTGGGGTGTCACTCAGAGATCTGGCCCCTGATAGTGCTCTCATGCAGATGTTGTTATTGTCGTCACATGCATCATTATTTTATAGAACAGGAAATGTCAGTCATGGAGGGATAAAGAAAAGCCCCCAAATGTCCCACAGCCAGCACCTGGCGGAATTGAGATTGAACCCTAGAGAGTGTTGAGAGAGCTATGTAAGTCAGCTTTCGGTTACTGTGACAAAACGCCCGAGATAAATCAAGTTGTAAGCGGAAAAAAGGTTTATTCCTCCCTTCCACCCAGCCCACTCTCGGATCATCCTCCACTCAGGGAAACAGCTGCCTTCATCGGCCTGGCCTCTACCCCAGGATGAAAGAGGATGGCCACCTGTGTCCCCAGCCCTGGTATTAAAAGGTGACACTGTGGGGTCAGCTCTGCGGGGGGTCAGATCCCAGCTCTGCCACCTTTGAGGGTCGTGATCCAGGCGGATTGCACTTGCTGGGGTTCTAGGGGCTTGTCATTCAGTCCTTGGTGGGCTGGGGGGGTCCCTGGGGACCCCAGACCAAGGGGAGGACCTGTTTTGTGGGACTCGCTGCAGAAAACGGACCCCAGATCTCTCTGCCCAGTGGGTTCCCTGTGCTGGGACCCAGGGAAGCAGAGGATGCCTGTCAGCAGCGGCGGCTCAGGTTGAGCCCAACCCGGCGACTCTGGGGCAGGTGACAATTGGCCGCGTGCTTTGGCGCCACCTGCTGGACACAGCAGGGAAGGCCGCTGGGGTTTCCCCGGGCACAAAACGGCTCATCACTGTCGCGCAGGGAGCCCCCCGGGGGTGCCCAGGGTTTTAATTTTCCTTTCTTGTGCTCTTTGGGAAAATTCAGCMGAGAAAAAGCTTTTACTGATAAACTACTTAGTGCCACGCTGGTCCAATCAATCATCAATCAATCATCTATCTGTATCAATATGTTGGTCCTGGGGATGGAACCCAGGGGCCCTTGACCCCTGAGCCCCGTCCCCAGCCCTTTTTTGGATTTTATTTAGAGACAGGGTCTCCCTGAGTTGCTTAGGGTCTTGCTAAATTGCTGAGGCTGGCCTCCACCTCGTGATCCTCCTGCCTCAGCCTCAGACCTTCACGGATCCATGTGAGGAGAGTGAGAGAAATGGCCGTAGAAGCCACGAGGTGTCCAAGCAGGGCTGTGACCCTGTCCCATGCGGGCCTTCTCTCGAGCCTCCTCCAGCGTTTGGCCCCCTTGCGACAGGCACGGGTCTCCCCCCCCCCCCCAACTGGGTCCCATCTGAGAAAGCTCTTGCTCCTCCCCCCTGGGTTGAAGCTGTCACCTCCTCTAGGCTCTGTCTCCCAGAGGAGCACAGGTGGGACAAGATGGGGCCTGGGGATCCCTGCCCACAAAAGCTGGGCAGCCGCAGGAACCCAGTACCTCCTGTGCCTATCAGACTGCTTTCCCAGACGGTGACAAAATGCCTGAGGCAATCCACCAAAAAATCAGGGAAGGTCGATCCTGGGTTAGGGTTCCAGAGGTTTCAATCTRTTATCTGGTGACCCCTGGGCTGGAGGCCATGGCCGAGGGGACCTGTTCATCTATGGCAGGGGGAAGCCGAAGTGGGGTGGGGAGGAGAAAGGGCTGGGGTCAAGGACATGCCCTGACTTTGTCCTACAAGGCTCCACCTCCTAAATATTTGACCGCCTCTYAGGAGTGTCACAGCCTGGGGACCGAGCCTTGACCACGTTGGCCTTTGGGGACACTTAAGATCCAAACTGTCCACCTTCCACCGGGTCTAATAAGGACCCCGCCCCTCCCTCTGAACTGTAGCTGCACTAATCGTTTATTGAGCATCTACTACGAGGCGCCCTCTSTACCTGGTGACCTGGAGCAAGGGACTCATGTCCAAGGTCACCCTGGTGTGACAGTGTCTCTTTCCACAAAGCAWCTGGTGTGTGGCTGTTCTTGGGTGCCTCCGGGTCCTGTGGGCTGCATGGTACCTCACTGGTCACTGGTCTGCTGACCGCGGGCTCCTGGTCACCTTGGGAAGAGGCGCTTATCGCGGTCCCACCCCGAGTCCTTCCTGAGGATGCTCCGTGGCCGGGGCAGCTCATCCCGTGGGCTGGGCCCTTCCTCTGGGCCTGGAATCTGTCCCTCCCTTCAGATCTCCAGGGTCAGGCCAGTGACCCTGGGCCATGTGACTTCCTCCAGGGCCTGGCCCTGGGTCCCTGCCTGCCTCCCAGCCCTCTCTGCCTGGTTTAGTGACTCATCCTGGGCCTGACGTACCGGGCAGGGCTCAGCTGGGGACAAGGACGCCCACAGCTTGTCATGTTGGGGAGAAAGTGCATCCTGGGGTCCAGCTCTGACCCTGGCCCAACAGCACTTGTGCCTCCAGGGAGTGCCCCTCCRCATGTCCCCTGCTCCTGTGTGCACCCACTCCCCGAGAGGCCTCTGTCCCCCGTGTCCTGGAGTMGAGAAAACCTCTTTGGAGGAGATGGAGAGCTCTGAGGACACGTCCCAGTGCCACTCTGCCCTTGCTGTGTGACTTTCAGAAAGTGAATCCACTTCTCTGTTTTTTTTCTTTTTTTTTAGTTTCCCTGTTTTTTGTCAATTAAAAGAAAAAAAGCCTCCATCTTTAGAATGTGTGATGGTTAAATAAAATGACCCACGAGTCCTGGTGCCTGGGCCCCAGCGCCAAAGGATAAAATGGGGATCTCTGGGGAGCAGATCTCGGAAATTGGATTCTATTAAAACTTGCAGGGAGGCTGGGGCCGGGGCTCAGGGGCAGAGCACTTGTCTAGCACGTGCGAGGCCCTGGGTTCGATCCTCAGCTCCACATAAAA